GTTAATAGTTTCTATCGCTTCCTGCATTCCTTGGCCTCGACAGATGTGATGCACACGGCAAATGCACAAGATGAAGAGAAAGTCAAAGATGAGGTTGAGTCAAAGGATGGTTGTAGAGAGGCAGGTGGAAATAAGTCGTGCTGAAAAACCAACTTTTCTCATAACCATGGTGTTTCCTGTTTGTGGGGGTATCAGCTTTTGTTCCGCCCACCACAGATACTAAGAACAGCCTCCTGCACGTTCTGTGGAGACAGCCAAAAGTGAGGTTGAACCTCCGGCTAGGGAAGTTCGCCAAGTTACCATGGAACTTTGAATGGAGACCTGGGTAGATCGATAGTCTATAAGGTTATTTACAAATATAGATAGCAAAACTGCAACCTGCATTTCACAAGCAACTTATGAGCAGGTAAAGTTTGTAATGGTGCTTGGTGGTGATCTGTGAAGCATAAGCGAGGAATCGCATACGTCGAATCGAGTCGTGGTGGTTCAGTGGTAAGGTTCGACGTTCGACGACTCGATTCGACGTATGCGATTCCTCGCTTATGCTTCACAGCTCACCACCAAGCCTCCACCCTACTGCACCATTACAAACTTTACCTGCTCATAAGTTGCTTGTGAAATGCAGGTTGCAGTTTTGCTATCTATATTTGTAAATAACCTTATAGACTCTATCGATCTATGGGACTTAAAGACACAGTCTCTATTCAAAGTTCCACGGTAAGTTGGGGGGCTTCCATGTTGACTCAAAGGATGGTTGTAGGGGAGACTGGTGGAAATAGATCGTGCCGGAAAAGCAACTACATATCTTCATCGCCACAGTGTTTAGGTTCTAGGTTCTGTTTGAAAGTGTAAAAAAATATGTTTCTTCTGCTGAGAATAAATATCTTGGGCAGTTCCTTGTACGTGACATAAAGGTATGAAAAGATAAAGAAGCTGGCATCGCTTCACAAAACCGCAGAATAAGGACACAGAAATAACTGACGACCCCGTTTCATGTGTGCTCGAACGTAGCCAAATCCCCTTTCGACATGCTTCGGACCGGTCCTGTTGTACATGGTGTCTCCGACGTCACAAATGGATCGCGGCCACATTTAGCACTCCACCGTCTTCGGTTACACCTTCAGTGAGAAGGAATGACAGCGGCCGCTCGCGCAAGGATGCTCGTGGTTCGCACTGAAGTGCAGCGGTGGCGCGTCACCCGATTAGCTGGAAAGTCGCTGCGCTTCGAACATCATTGAAAGTCACTCTCGCATTGTTTACTCAGTTGCAAGGCGTTCGAGCCTCAGCCTCATTGTGCTTTTTGGGAATTCTCTATTTACGTCTGTCATTACATGCATTTATCCGACAATCGTGTACATTCTGTTTACCTTACCAAACCTGCTGATTTCCTGACCATTCGAGGTTGTCAATTCAAGAGTACAAGTATAAAGTTACAAAAATTATGCTGCTGGCCGAAATTGTCAGCGATGCTCATTTTGTCGATGTTTCGACTTGGTTGCCCTCTCCAGAGCCTAAAAAGTCGGAAGACATGTGAGAAACTGCTCTTTGAGAAACCATTCCATCCTACAAAGCAAATTCAGTGGATGCGTAAATTAGAGGGGCGACAACACGAAAGCTATAAGGACTAACCTTCGGGAGCGTGACACATAACGATAGAGTGCTCGCCCAAAAAGCATGAAGTGTAGGTTCGAGTCCCGCCTGGAGTCATGATTTTTGACGGTAATTCGAACATTTTATTTGGGGAAAATAAGAACACTGACATGTAGATCGCCTGGTCCCGCAAGTCATTGTGTAAGCCAGATTGAGTTCATTAAGCCACTACGGTCGGGAACATAATGCGTGCCGCATCCTAAAAAGTGTGTAATCAATAGCAGAGAATTTATCTTTTTTTTATTTTGTTGGCTAGGGTTTTTGTTTACACATACAAGTATGGCGTCAGTAGGCTGATCCTGAGGGGATGAAGGCTGTCACTGATCTAGCAAAGAAGCGATCTTGTATTGTAGACCGGTCTCGTGCAAAGCCTCTACCCTTTACGCTTTCCACCACACTTCAGCTAGTTATTTTTTGTTCTATAGATTTGGATACATAATAGTATAAACATGCGGCCGGGAATAGGAACCCTAAGATTAGGAAGCTGTTTTGACTGCTTCCTAATATTATGATAACTGCTGTTTAACGCCGCAGTTCGCGTTCCGAATGTTATCACAAGAATGCTGAGTTATGGGCAAAAGTCGTGCCCCAGGCGGGAGTCGAACCCGCACCTCACGCTTTCCGGGCGAGTGCGCTATCCGTTACGCCACCAGGGCCCGAACATAATTGGTGCGTAAGTTAGGTTTTCTTTCAATTCTACACTTCATCGTTCATTTTTTATTTCACTTTCTGCATCTGAGCTTCTATTAGGTTGGAAAGAAAGTCCTGCGACACCTTGATTGAATTGTTCTGAAGAAAACAAAAAACATTTTGAATGTTTTCACCCTGATTAGTGGAGAGTGTCCTCTGAGGTTTTTGCAGATGGGTATATCATGACTTTGTGGGAAGCTTTTAAAGCCTAAAAGTCCCCAGAGGTTAAGGTAATTTTCGCCCTATCCCATATTATGAGCTCCCGTAAGTCGGCCGTAGTCGAGCGGGTTAACTCCTGCGTTTTCTTCAGGAAAGATGTCGCTTTCCATGCCATAGTGTCCCGCTTGTGTTGCCGCTTGGGAGCTGGAGTTATTCAGTTTGAAGGTGGGCTTCGTATAGGTCAGCCACCAGCACAAAATGACGGCTCAAACTTCTGGAGGCGCAGCCAAACGTAACCATCGGCAACTTGGCACCTAGGCTCCACCTAAGTGACAGCCATGCTTGTCCGCATCTCGGTTGTAGGGAAAATTTTTTGTGGAGTATGCCTCATGAGTTGGACCAGTCTGACAAAGCGCACCGAATGGTCGTGACTCAGTTTCCTTTTCTTTGTACACAAGAATAAGGAGAAAAGAACGAGAAACGTAGATTGCTCAGCCAAAGGCAGATGTGCATGGAAGAGAGAAATCTCTGTTTTATTGGTGGCACTCTAGAGCGGTGTCGCTGGATACTAGCACAACTGTGACAACCACCTTCTACACTATCCAACTTCAAAGCATGGATGGCGTCACGGTTGATTTTATGAAAGGC